ATTTCATTCAACATTTCTTTTTTTTTTTCTCAGATGTTTTTTGGCTTTTGATCGTCTATCTGAACAGAACTCTTCTACATTCACTGAAGTTGAAGCAAAAGTTGTCGTTTTCCACTTGTAACAAATATATAAGCTTCTTCGTCAGAGCTTTTCACTTGTCCATTTTAATTGGATGTAGATGCCGGCAACTCCTCTCCCTATTTGTCAAAGAGATGATAATGCTGACGGTGATAATGCTGACGGTGATAATGGTGATGGTGATGAGGATGACGATTGCGATGACGATGGGTGGAGGCGTGATGTTGAAGATGACGGTGACAACGACGGTGATCATAGCGATGATGATGACTATGATTTTGATGTTGATGGTGATGACGATGGAGATGACGATGTCGACGATGATGATGATGATACTGATGATGACAGTATCAATGATGATGATGAGGCGCAAAATTTAAGGTTTTTGATGAGCATGTCAGCTTGCTGTTGTCAAAACTGTTAAGAAATCTGATATGGAAACAAAACCACAGTTTTTCTAAAACTGTTTATCGGTCATTTTGTGGGAAGATAAAGTGAGCAAGAAGTATGCGAAGAAGGAAATGAAGACGACAAGAAATAGAAAAGAACTGGGAATAAAAGCTGAAAAAAGGATGGTTTAATGACTGGAAAAAAGAAAGAAAAAGGAAAGGAGAAGTAAAAAAGCCCGAAATGATAAACGTTTGAATGTTTTGTGTACGATGTGTAATTCTTCAATTTCTTCGTCTTCTTCTTCATTTCTTCTCATTCGTCATTGCTTTTTTTCTTCCCCTTTATTCATCCAAAGTTTTTAGTTGATCGTCAGTTGTTCAGAACATCAGTGAACAAAAAAAATTCCTTCTTTTTTCTCTTTTTTCTTTTTTTTTTCTTTTCTTTATCCTCTTTTTCTCTCTGATTTACTTTAAATTACTTCGGTTATATAGCAGCCACCAATGATGTATTTCTCGGCAATAAACAATCAAAATTACAGGCAGATATGCAACAGTTTGACGGAAACAAGCAAAAAACGGACCAAAAAAAAAATAATAAAGTAACATTTTTTCTCATTTTTTTTTTTTGTTAAAACATAACTTTTTTTTAACTTTAAAATTTTGTTTTAGAGAAGAAATTTTTAGCAACTTTCTTGGCTTCTTTTTTTTCGTCTTTATAACTGACTGCTAAAGCAATAACACATAACAATAAAATTTTGAAAAACTGAAAGAATATGGCACAGCGAAGAAACGAAAAAAAAGATGGGTGAAAAAGGGAAATTATTGCTGTTTTGTACCGCTCTCTTTCTTCCTTTTTT